CTGGGTTTGCCCCCCCCGTCCTCCCCTGTCCTCCGTCCTCCATCCTCCGCCCTGTGGGACCATGGGCACTCGCACACACTCAGCGTGATTAGGGCTGACCAGGCGGGGGAATCAAACCACAGTTGCCACGTGGCATCGGGTTTTCCTTGAGCATTGCACGTTACAGCAGTGTCATGCAGCTGGCCTCTAAAACAGAAGTTTGTTTGTTTGTAAGTGTGGACATTTGCTGGAGTTTCTTTTGACGGCATTCATGTTACCCGCCTTCTGTCCCTACCCTGCAGGTGTGTGCTGAGTGCCCATGGTCTGGGCTCCCTTGCCGACCCTTGGCTCCCTCCAGCAGACTGACAGCCTAGGTCACTGACTCCTCACTCTTGGCTCTACATGCACCCTCCACATCCTGCAGTGCCGGGGGAGGCTGACCTGACCATTGCCCTCAGGGGCTCCTGGCCTCAGGATGGGTCTGGGTATCAGGAAGCCTCAACTGCAGACCCCAGAGCGAGAGTTTCTTTTGACGGCATTCATGTTACTCGCCTTCTGTCCCTACCCTGCAGGTGTGTGCTGAGTGCCCATGGTCTGGGCTCCCTTGCCGACCCTTGGCTCCCTCCAGCAGACTGACAGCCTAGGTCACTGACTCCTCACTCTTGGCTCTACATGCACCCTCCACATCCCGCTGTGCCCCGGGAGGCTGACCTGACCATTGCCCTCAGGGGCTCTTGGCCTCAGGATGGGTCTGCGGAACGGGAAGCCTCAACTGCAGACCCCAGAGCGAGAGAAGCGACCCACGGCACACGGCTACAAACAACATGTTAAATATGAACACACCTGGTGCCAAGGGGAAATGACTGAGGGTTCTGTTTTTATGATTGTTGCTTTCCCACTGAAAGACAGACTGCCCTATATGTAACAGAGAAATCCAAAAAATGTGTTATATTATTCTTAGTTTAATACTTATAAATAAAAATAGTAAAATTCTATCTAATAAGGTGTGCAAGAACTTTTGTGTGGGTCACTGGTTAAAACTCTAAGAGCAGAATCCCTTGCTGGGATGTAGAGACCACGGACCATGCCGCTAGGGGAGACCAGGGGTGCCCACAGAGCAGAGGTGCCCCGCCCCTTCCCCGTCCGCTGCTGAGTGACACGCTAGTGCCCACTTAGCTAAATGGAAAGACAGAAAGGAGCTGGGGGACAGAGGGAGGAAGGGGATGGGGGGGAGAAAGCTTGCACACATACACCAGGTGCTCCGTGTACCACAAAGGATGGTTAAAGCCACACGGCCGTAGTCACACGTGACGGACGCGAGCCACAGCTCCCTAGACTGTAGGTCCGTAAGAACGAGGGCTGGAGAAAGGGCAGGTCTCCTCCCAGCTGCTGGAAAGCTTTGGGATCTTCAGCCTCCACTCCCCACTGCGCAGGGCTTGACCTGCACCCCAACCACCTGCCTCACAAGGGCCTTGTCTTCTTAGAGCTTGTTTTTTTTTTTTTTCCTACACAAATTGTATTTTATTAATTCGAGAGAAATTCTATTAAGGATATTAGGCTGGGTAACAGAGGGGGGATCAGGAAACAAACAAACAAGCATTGAAGAGATATAAAAATGAAAAGTTCCCTGTAGGTGACAAGGTATAGTCATGTGTGGGGACAGCCAGTGGTGTGGTGGTTAAGGCGCTGGACACTCCCATACAACCGACCATGGTTCGAGTTCCAGACTTGGTGACTTGTTTTCTCACTTTCCTCTCTCTCTCTCTCTCTCTCTCTCTCTCTCTCTCTCTCTT